TTATATTTTAAAATGAAAACTGCAAAGAATAATATATATAGTCTTTATTGTCTCTCTATTGTCTTTATAAATGCATTTGTATCTATACCATCTATACCAGGGGTCTCCAACCTGTGGCTTGGGAGACACCAGTAGCTCGCCAGCCCCATTCAGGTAGCTCCCCAAAAGATTTAGAATTTAACAAACGATTTTTAATGACTACCTTTTGAGTCATAATTACATTTATATATATTATAAGTATTAATATAGGGTTTTACAGTATTATGGTATATTTATGTGCGCATCATTTTTGTATTACGACTGCAAAAAGGAGTAGCTCTCTGCCTCTTTTGTTGCATAAAAGTAGCTCCCTGATGGAAAAAGGTTGGAGACCCCTGATCTACACTATTATAGATTTAGTATAGATTGTCGTGGGGCTGATGTAAACAGGATGCCTCTCTCTGTGTGCGGCCCTGCTCCCTTTAAACACACACAGACAGGTAGAGACAGGCGACACCGAGAACGCCCTCTGCTCTTACATCCCACACTTCCTGTCCAATCCGACTGGAGCCGAATGTTTGTGTCCAGATTCCAGGAAAAATTCCCACTTTCTGACACACGCTCAAATGTCACCCCTGCCCCCTCCTCCTCACCCTGGATCTGCGAGCCCTGGTGGGAATCGCTGCAGTCCTGACGTAGACTTGGTTTGGTCCTGTTCCTGTCCAGGTTTAGGGCAGAGTTTAGCTCTGCATGCGACTGAAGGATTGTATCTTCACTCTGTTTAATGTGCCGTGATTATTTATGATTTTAATTAAGCGCAAAAATCAGTAAATTTCCCATAGACCAGAGATTTCACTAGGACCCTTCCCAATAACTGAAATTTCCCCACGGTGGGACGAATAAAGGATCTCTTCATCTCTCATGAGATCATCAATGTGAAAACTAGACTTTCTCTCTGCTAGCCATGCTAATATTCTTACTAATGCAACTCATGATCTTGATTTTATGTTTATGACTGAAACATGGCTTGACCATAATACAGGAGATGCAGTTTTAATAGAAGCCTCACCACCAAATTTCAAATTTGAACATGAAACACGAGAAAATAAAAGGGGGGGGGGGCATAGCAGCAGTTTTTAAAGATCGTATTGTCTCCCATAGAGTGTCTCTTGGGAAATTTTCATCATTTGAGTATGTTTCTTTTAAAATAGAACAAAAGAAATCTTCTTCCATTCTTATTATTGTTGTGTACAAGCCGCCACAGTCATGCCATAGTTTCACTGATCATTTCACTGAGTTGCTTTCAGTTGTGTGCACAGATTTTGATGGTTTGGTCATTGTAGGTGATTTCAATATACATGTAGATAATGCTAATGATAGATATGCAATAGAGCTGAGCTCTGTGCTGGAAACCTTTGGTCTCACTCAGCATGTGAGTGGCCCCACCCACAGCAGAGGACACACTCTCGATCTGTTAATTACCAAGGGGGTTAATATTTCAAATGTAAATGTGGTCAATGTTGCTCTGTCTGATCATTTCTGTGTATTTTTTGACATGTGTCTTGATTGTAAACCACCAGCTGAATCTTCGGTTGTTAGAAGAAGACACATAAATGATAATACAGGCGAACTGTTCATGGGGAGGGTAAACTTTGAGAACACGTTGTGTGTTACTGTAGATGAATTACTTGATTCTGTCACCACCACTGTTTTGAATGTTCTGGATACAATTGCTCCTGTAAAGGTTAAAATAGTTACAAACAAGCAAAAAGCGCCATGGACTAAAGCAGACTCGGTCAGGGCACAGAAGAGAGAGTGCCGGAAGGCCGAGCGGAAGTGGCGAAAGTCAAATCTCAAAGTTGACCATGAGATCTTCAAAGATGCGTTGTGCAATTTTAACAGGGAACTACGTAGAACGAGGGAAATGTACTTTTCTGAAACTATTGAAGGCTGTAGCAACAATCTACGTGCTCTGTTTTCAACAGTAAATAGATTGACGAATCCCCCTGTTAAGATGCCATCAGAACTTACTTCCAAATCTAAATGTAATGAGTTTGCTCAGTTCTTTAATGACAAAGTCCAAGGTATCAAAAACGCCATCACCTCCACGATAGAAATAATAATCCAACCGCCAGTGAGGCTTTTTGGGCTGACGCACTTTACACCAGTACAAATTGAAACTGTCCAGGAGATAATCACTAGTCTGAGTTCCTCCACATGCAGCCTGGATGTATTACCTCCTAGATTTCTCAAGTCAGTTCTGAGCAGTCTTTTACCTTCACTTACACAAATAGTTAATATGTCTCTTGAATCTGGAACATTCCCAATGGCCTTGAAAACGGCGGTCATCAGGCCCCTCCTAAAAAAGAGGAGTCTGGAAGCCCTGGCACTCAAAAATTATCGGCCCATTTCAAATCTGCCTTTCATGGGAAAAATTCTAGAAAAAGTTGCCTATAAACAACTTACAGAATTTTTAATAATCAATAACGCTTATGATATGTTCCAGTCAGGGTTTAGACCCCACCACAGCACTGAGACCGCGCTAATAAAGGTAACAAATGACATCAAACTAAACACTGACGCAGGAAAAGTCTCAGTCCTTTTTCTGTTAGATTTAAGTGCTGCTTTTGACATATTGATCATGGCATCCTCATTCAGAGACTTGAGGACTGGGTTGGTGTTGCTGGCACCGCCCTAAGCTGGTTTAGGTCCTATTTACAAGACAGAAAGTTTTTTGTGGAGATCGAAAACTGTACCTCAGACCACTTGGCCCTGACCTGCGGAGTGCCACAGGGGTCAATCCTGGGTCCTCTTCTGTTTAATATTTACATGTTGCCTCTAGGTCAGTTGATTCACAGTAATAATGTCTCTTATCACAATTACGCTGACGATACTCAGGTCTATGTGTCCCTGACAGCAGGAGAGCATGAACCAGTGGACTCGCTCCTTCACTGTGTCCAGCAAATCGGTGATTGGATGCAAAATAACTTTCTCCAACTAAACACCGACAAAACTGAAATAATTGTTTTCGGACCCCAGAAACAAAGAGAGAGCGTTATTTGTCACCTCCAGGCTCTCTCTCTACAACCCTCAAATCAGGTCAGAAATCTAGGAGTGATAATGGACTCAGACTTAAATTTCAAAAGCCACATAAAATCTGTAACATCAGCAGCTTATTACCACCTAAAAAACATTGCTAAAATTAAAAACATAGTGTCTAAGGCAGACTTGGAGACTCTTATACACGCTTTTGTCTCCAGTCGGTTAGACTATTGCAATGGCCTGCTCACAGGTCTGTCCAAACAGGCTGTAAAACAGCTGCAGTACATTCAACATGCAGCAGCTCGAGTCCTGACTAGAACCAGGAAGTACGACCACATTAGTCCAGTTCTCAGGTCTCTGCACTGGCTTCCTGTTCCTCAGAGAATAGACTTCAAAGCAGCTTTACTTGTGTACAAGTCCTCTCATGGTCTCGCGCCAAGGTACATCCATGACATGTTTCTGCCATATGAACCGACCCGGACTCTGAGGAGCACAGGGACTGGACTCCTGTTAGTGCCCAGAGTCGGTACTAGACATGGGCAAACTGCATTTCAGATTCATGCGGCTAGAGTCTGGAACAGTCTTCCTGAGAATGTGAGACAGGCGTCTACTCTGGCATCTTTTAAATCTAGGCTCAAAACAATTCTGTTTAGCTGCGCATATACAACTGAATGATTTTATCTTTTCATCTTTGTTTTTATCTTTAATCTTTTTAATGCACTGTGACTATTTATGATTTTAGTCCCATCTGTGATTTTAATGTTTAAAGGTTTTTAATTTTTGTGATTTTATTTTTAATGTTTTTAATATATCTTGTGCTCTTAATGTGTTTGATTTATGCATGATGTGATAGGGGATGTGAAGCGCTTTGCGTTGCCTTGTGTAGGAAAGGCGCTCTACAAATAAACGTTGATTGATTGATTGACAGTACAGTATATAGACAATGCTATCCCCCTAATTCACTCTGGCCCCAATTGACTTACATGAAAAAGTAAACTCCTCAGTAACTGTTTGTGTGGCTTAAATCTCTGTGATCCAGGTGTATATATTGTGATATTGTAAATCCAGATATGAACCATATAAGGATGGACCATTCAGAGGGCTTCATTCGTGGGAGAAACTCCAGCTAGCTTTACAACAATTGTAAAGCTAGCTGGAAAAGACGTCAAAAAGATGTAAAGTATCTGTAAAAGACGTCACATAAATAAATATTACTCACTACTACTTTTCCAATGCTTTTCAACTTTTTGTTATTTGACTAGATGCCATTTTCAATCAGAACGCGGGTATTTGACGAGAAACAAGTGATACTTCTCTCTTCTTACATGTCCAAATCAATTGTAAATGATCACTATTTGGTTTATGATATTGGTAAGTTCAGTCATTTAGGTTATGGCTAATAGCTACTCTCACAGCAGCACGGTGGCTGAGTGGATAGCACTCTTGCTTCTCAGCAAGAAGGTCCTGGGTTTGAATGGGCCTTTCTGAGGCCCATTTCTTTTCCCTGTGTCTGTGTAGGTTTCCTCCAGGTGCTCCGGTTTCCCCTACCCCTAAAAACATGTACAATAGGTCTGGCGTTTGACCTATTGTACATGTTGAGTGAGAGACAAATAACAATAATCTAATCTAATCTAGTAAAGTTTTGGAAGCACCTGCTGTAAAGTGCTCAAGTGAGAATGCATGCATATCCTAATTATCCAATGACACGTCCCCCGGTCCGTTCGCGCCCCTCATAAACCCAGCGTCTGACTTAACCTCGGTCACAGCAGCTGTAAATATCCCTGACGTCCTGGACCGGAGGCTGCAGACACGAGAGTTCAAACTTTCACCCCCTCCAGCTCCTTGTACGCGTCTCGTAGTGATGACATCAGCGCTGCAGAATGTGTGTCTGGCTGAGGGCCCTTTAGAAGCTGCTGTGAAGAGAGTGGAGACAGGTCGGGCTCTGAATGGCCCTGTCTTTTAACGCTTTAGCGCCTGACTCACTGCAACAGAAGCAGGAGGAGCGATGTCATGGACGTGCCGAAGACCATGACATCATCAAGTGTCGACGTCAGCGACAGAAAGCCCAGATGTTCAACCGCTATGTCAAATTGGCCTGACAGAGTCTGAGCGGCAGGTACCAATGTCCACAAACCACCGTCAAGCTAAAAGGAAGCGACAAACTAAAGCTACAAACACACTTTTTTCACCTACATCCATTTTCTAACCATATGTTCAAGAACAATTTGTATTTTTCAAATTTAACTTGTTTTGTTATGTTGTATGAACAATATAAGCTTGAAATAAATACTTACTTACTTACTAACTCTGACTCATGTTGAAAACAAATTAAATGTATTTATTTATTTGGATCCCCATTAGCTTCCACAAGTTGGTGCTAATCCTCCCGGGGTCCACTCCACACAGGATCTATTCACATTACAACATTTCAAACCTATAGTGACCTGTCGCAACACAAAATCACACAAAACTGAACAAACGCCTCACGTCATAGTTCAACATTCATTCAACGATTGTTCTTTTTGTTTTCGTTTACTGTTGAATACGCTGGAAACGATAGAAAGTCCTTAATAGCTCTGAAACAGTTTTTATTTTACTTGCTTTTTTCTACCTGAGATGTTGCTGCAGTACAGTGTTCATGGTTTTGCACTGGTCCAGACCGGAGCAGAGAGGATTCATGGTTTTACACTGGTCCAGACCGGAGCAGAGAGGATTCATGGTTTTACACTGGTCCAGACCAGAGCAGAGAGGATTCATGGTCCGAACCAAGTGGATCGGGTGAAAATCCACTGGAGGAATGCAAACTTTTTGAAAAACGCTAATGAAGCATTTAGTATTTTACTTTGGACTAGAGCAGAGAAAATGGTCCAAACCAAGCGGCTACTCCACCTCTGCTGCTGTGACCCGTCCTGCTCCACCCAGAGGCTACTCCACCTCTGCTGCTGTGACCTGACCTGCTCCACCCAGAGACTACTCCACCTCTGCAGCTGTAACCAGTCCTGCTCCACCCAGAGGCTACTCCACCTCTGCTGCTGTGACCCGTCCTGCTCCACCCAGAGGCTACTCCACCTCTGCTGCTGTGACCCGTCCTGCTCCACCCAGAGGCTACTCCACCTCTGCTGCTGTGACCCGTCCTGCTCCACCCAGAGGCTACTCCACCTCTGCTGCTGTGACCCGTCCTGCTCCACCCAGAGGCTACTCCACCTCTGCTGCTGTGACCTGACCTGCTCCACCCAGAGGCTACTCCACCTCTGCTGCTGTGACCAGTCCTGCTCCACCCAGAGGCTACTCCACCTCTGCTGCTGTGACCTGTCCGGCTCCACCCACACCCAGAGACTACTCCACCTCTGCAGCTGTGACCAGTCCTGCTCCACCCAGAGGCTACTCCACCTCTGCTGCTGTGACCTGTCCGGCTCCACCCACACCCAGAGGCTACTCCACCTCTGCTGCTGTGACCAGTCCTGCTCCACCCAGAGACTACTCCACCTGTGCTGCTGTGACCTGAAGTGCTGTTGCTTATTATTACAATTGTTAGCTTTTAAGAATGATCAATTTTACTTTTATTTTTTGCTGCTGTTGGACACCTGAATTTCTTTTACGGGAATCAATAAAGTATCTATCCATCTATCTATCTTGTTCAAGCTATAACAGGCTCATAATGGTCATAATAAAAAAAGTCATCAAGTAGGGAAAATATCTCCTCTGCATTTGACCCATTCTGAATGCCACCAGGGCCTCTGTCAGGATCAGGACCCCATGTCCAGATGTGGACGCTCTTGGCCAGGACCAGAGCTTATTGTTATTCTTATCTTTAGATGGTTACTTTAATGTTATTTTTTATTGTGGAATAATATGCAAGCTACTGTGACAATGCAATTTCCCGTGGATCAATAAAGTCAAAGTCTAAGTCTTTCACAAACCAGAGTTACAAAGTGCTTTACAGTTGTTGTGGACATTAGTCTCTCACTCCACAACAGAGAGTGAGTTTGCCAGTACAGGAGGCGCATGCCAGACCTATTGAAAATGTTTTTAGTGGAAGGGGAGACCGGAGCACCCAGAGGAAACCTACGAAGACACGGGGAGAACATGCAAACTCCACTCAGAATGGCCCTGTTCTAACCGGGATTCTAACCTCATTCACCTCGTGCTGTGTGCTCCTACTGTTCAGTAACTGGTGGTGCCACACTGAAATTTCCCCACTGTGGTCCAAATGAAGGATCTCTTAAACAAATCTTAATCTTTTCTTTTGCGTTTGATCAATTGCGACTGATCTGCTTGGATTATTACGGATTATTGGACACAAAAATAAAGCAAACCACTGGCTCTCCGCTCAAAGGGACTAGAGTCTCTTTCGCCTTGGTCTGAACTGCAGTGGCTTTGCGAGTATTTTGTTAAGATCCCAACATCTGAAACTGAATGGCGTCATGATAATCACATTTATTAGAAGCAGAAAGTGAAAGAAAACAAAGTCAGATATAATGTGTTTTTGCATTACTCATGGTGAGCTCATGTTGGTGGCGTTCCCTGTGTGACTGATAGGTGACCCAGTTCTCGGGGGCAGGAGCACGCAAAGGTCAGGGCAGAGTGAGTCAGTGGGCAGTCGGTAATGGAAACTAGAACCCCCACAATCCCCCACTCTTCCTCCTCTTCATCTGCTGTTCTTATTGAGCCTGTTTACCCCAGTCCTGCTCGGTCAATAACATGACAGAGATAATACTTATTTGTGATCTAAAGGAGCAATATGTAAGATTTTCATATGAAGTCGATATTAAATGGCGCTAATTTGTCAAAAGGCATTAACAAACCATGGTCTTTTCCAATACTTCTGATAACAGTAGTTCAACCGAGATATTCCAATTTTAAAATTAGTTTTACAGCCCCTAAATCTTATTATCGTTTTGATTTCGATGCCCCGCCCTCCACCGTTTTACCAATCAGAAAGTCTGTGATCCGGGTTGCCAGAACTCACTGCGTCGAGCTAATCTCACTGGTTAAGTAACATGTGAGCGCAGAATTGAAATCTCGTTATGATTCTCAAATTAAGGATTTCTATAAAAAATGGTCCCCGATATATATATTTTACATTTATACAATTCTATTAATGCTGACAAGTTGACTCACTCTGCCTCAATGAAATCATCACAAGAACAAGGCAGCACTTAACAGCGAGTCTCTCACTGACCAGCCCTGCTCCTCAGTCAGCTTTTAGCTAGCTGCATTTCCCTAATCCCCACTCGGGTTTCAGCTTGTGCCTCAACCCTCCTCCTCCCTATCACAGCGTCAACACTGGTCCTGTCTTCAGCATTATTACTTCATCTTCTACCACCGCAACTTCAAGATCCCAGAGGATGTTGTGTGTGTTCGTTTGACTCACATGTGACAGTTGTGTGTGTTAGTGTGACTTACATATGACCGTTGTGTTGGGCGAGCTGATGTGTGTGTGTGTTATTGTGTGTGTTAGTGTGACTTACATAAGACCGTTGTGTTGGGCGAGCTGATGTGTGTGTGTGGGAGGATGAGGCTGTCTCCGTCACACAGGATTCTCTGAGGCCCATTTGCCCTGATGATGAGCGGCTCTGTGTACGTCAGGACCACATCTGCAGAGAAACACAAACACACACATGTAGAAACACAAACACACACATGTAGAAACACAAAGACACACAAGTAAGGAAGTGCTCACATTTATATAACACTTTTCTACCGTTTTAACCCCCAAGCGAATAAACTCTCTCTTGCCGACTGATGTAACTAATATGAGTAACATGTGACTGTGTGTAGGAATGTTTTTACATAGATGATTGTTTTAGATTTCTTCATATTTATTTATTTCTTAATTTAATTTATATATTTTTACAAAAACACACCATGACAGAACATCCTCACTCTGGGCATTCAAAATCTGTTTCAAAGTCTGTGCAGCTGTAAATCTGGCTAATCTAGGTCTGTTGGCCGTACATCCCTGCAAAACATACAAGCGTATAACTATTGGAAAATAACAAAACCACTGAAGTCAAAAATCACAAAAAATTAAAACTGCACAGATTATATAAATAAGAGCAGGATGATTAGAATGACAGATTCTTGGTAGGGAACTTTTATTTTTATTATTTTATATTATTTTTATATGCTTTTGGTTATATTCTGTATGTCCCCACTCGGCCGATCCTGGACACACAACAATCAACAACATTTATGGACTTTATCAAAATGTATAGAATTTGGTCTCTGCCCCTTATGGACGTGTTTGATTCTCTGATTTCTGTTGGCGAATCAATCACATTGTATAGACCTCTGTAAATGCTGTTGTGATTTAGGGACATACAAAAATACATTGTTTGTTTTGTTTATTTATTTCATTCATTTAAAAACGTGCAACAACAGCATTTCGTGTGAATGATAAGGAGCAGAAAGAAGTAAAAACTTATAATATCTGTCCCCTATCAACACTAAATCATTTACAGTTACATTTGAGCCTCTAATGCAACTTTGACAATTCCAAAAACAAAATACAAAATTCTAATAACAGCTGATCCGCAGTGATGTATTTCTGCAACATCGATAATTTTACAGACTTTTTAAACACAAAATCGGACGAAGAAATTGTGATTTTACAATCCAGACTGTTCCACAGATCGACTCCTTTGATTGAGATACATTTTTCCTTTAAAGACGATTGAAACCTGGGTTTGTTAAAAATCTTGGTTCCTTTTAATTCATTCTGTATCTGCTTTTTCTCTTGGTGAATCTGTTTTGCAAATTCATGGGTAAACTTTCCAGATGAGCTTTATACATATTTTTTAGCAAGTTATACTCTACTAGTTCATTCAATTTCAGTGTTTTTTGTTATATAAATTTTGGATTATACAAATAAACTAAAAACATTAAAATTTAATGAACAAGTAGAATGGAATTGACAAGTTACTCTGGTAGAAGTAGAACCACTGCAGCCATGACTCATAATGACTCACGGTGACTTATGGAGAGAGTGGACACCGATTTCAAAGTTTGCATTTCTGAACAATAAGAGACATTCATGTCCCTCCCCCTAAAAATATGGCACAAAACTAATAAAACACACACGCTGCATTTCTCTGTCTTCTTCCCTCTTCTCTCTCATCTCTCACCACACACATATGCACAAGTCCAAACCACTTCACCAATGTGTTTATTTACTTTTTCCTCTCGGATTCCTCTTTCTCCGCTGTCCCTGTCTCTCACAAACACATTCTTTCACATCATATCTAGCCTCATATTTAGAGTGTACATATTTAGACGGAGATGTGTGGCTGAGATTAGGTCGGTTGCCTCAAAAATGTAACAAAATGGAAGTTTTTGGGTCCAACGCCACCAGCAGAAACCACCGGCTGCACCACACAGGGCTCCTGCTGCCAGATAAGTACATGCATCTGACGAAACAGAGAGACTCAAGTTTGGGGTCACACTTCAATTTGTGGGTGAATAGCCTTGTAACAGATTTGGCAGGAATTAGAATCTATCTCAGGGGTGTCAAACTTATTTTGGTCGGGGGCCGGATTTAAAAACTAATCATTCCCCAGAGGTCGAAAGAATAAAAGTGTTTGAAGCTCATCTTTGCATCTATGGATATAAGAATATGTATTTTATTTTTTTTTGACATTATGAAGGTTTAAAAAGACCTGGACAAAACTAGTGACTGTTTGAACTGAACCAAAACTCGGTCAAAATCAATAAACAATGAAGGGTAGTCAATCTTCCCGCTGCTGTCAGACACTGCCAACCTGACCTCACATGTCGTGCATCTGTGCAATTATTTGAACTAATGTCAGAATGTGCAATATTAAACCACATGCGTCCTAACCATAGCCTGTATATATCCACAGAAGTAGTCACGCCTATCTCCGCCGTCCTAACTAATGGGCCAAAAATTGGGCTCTCATGGGCTGATTCAAAATGAAAAAAATGCATCTGCGCATGCGTCAGCTGCACGAGCTCCATTCTTTTAAACGAGCGACTTCAAAAATTCACAGCGACTAAACTAGACTGGTCCAAAAAGATTCACCCCCCTCAGCATTGACACACATGTGGGACGGAGCTTTGGGCCAAGAGCGACTTTTGGACCATCCTGTAAAGACGTTTTCGAGAGGTCAGAAGATAAGTTCATTTGCATTGAATAATTCCCTTTCCGGGTGGTGTTGCAAGCATGTTATTGCCCGTCATTTTGGCCACTTTTGAGCCAGGACCCGCCCCCACTGGTCCTAATACTGTATGTACAGATATATTTCTTGCATTAGAGTATACAGTATTTTTATTTGCTTCTTTCTTATGCTAAAGTTACAGATTTTACACTTACTTCTTTATTATGCTAAAGTCAGAGATTTTCTTTTGTTTTAGTATTGAGTTATTATTCACTTATTGTGTGCTGTGTGCTCCTCATTCCTACTGTTCTGTAACGGGTGATGCAACACTGAAATTTCCTCACAGTGGGACAAATAAAGGATGTTTTCATTGTAATCTTTAACCTTAAAGCTGGAGTCTGTTCTGTACATGCACATATCAAACACATATCAAAGTAAGTAAGTTTAATTATATAAACCAGAATTGAGATTCATAATCATGTTTCCTTACAATGTGATGACAGAAGAGAGACGCAGAACCGCACTCATTACATTGTATATGTTTTAGTGGTATGGAAACCGGAGCACCAGGAGGAAACCTGTGTTCTGAGACCTCTGGGAACACCAGGTGCCACAGTGGTTGTGTCCTTAGGAAATACACGTCACCCACATTGCCTAGAATGAGTCTGGTGTGTGTGTGAGCGGTTGGTGGTGGTCAGAGGGGCCAATGGCACATACTGGTTGCCTCGCTTCTGTCCGTGTGCCCCAGGGCAGTTGTGGCTACAGCAAGAGTCTATCACCACCATATGAAGTGAATGAATAATACCATGTGTGAATCATGAACCAAATTTGTCTATTCCAATGGACAGTACCCAGGTCTGATGCTGAACTCGGCCCCCGCTGATAAAATAGTTGTTTACCATCAGGGGCCCATCTTTGAGGCTGTATCAAAGCGCTCAGTCTGATGCTTATGTAAGGTGTTATTCTGAAGAGGAGCCTGTGCCACTTTCACACACGGTCAACATGCAAGGCTCTGTGGACGGGTTTGTGCCGCGGAGAAGCAGCCGGGCCCCAGGGGACCCAGGGAAGGACATCGAGTCATCGTCCAGTTCCAAAAACACACAACGCACAAACCTGACTCTGCACATGTTTTTCCCTGAAGATTGTGGAGGGTCTAAGGAGAGTGGTGATGATCCAGGACCTCCATGTTCAATTATGGACTTAATAAGCATTTATGGACTTTGGTCTCTGCCCGTTAATGGCTCTATGAGTTTTTTTATCATTGCATTCTCTGTGTTTGCACCGTTTGATTCTCTGATCTGTGTTGGCGAACCGAAAGTTTTGTAAAGTCTTCCATGATAACTACTGTTGTGATTTAGGGCTATAGAAGAAGAAGAAGATATACTCTATTGATGGATCGATGGAGAAATTCGTCGATGAATAGTCACAAACACTAATCACATCAAGGCATGCAGCGTGCTGTTGCTTCCGCGCTCCTTATAGGAAAAGTCGGGTAAAGTGTCTTGCCCAAGGACACAACGACAGCAGTGGGAGTCGGAGGAGAAGGTCTTGCGAGGGGCTCGAAACCACAACTGTCAGGCTCAAAGGCCAATGCTCTGCCAACTGAGCCACTGTCACCTCCCTCTAAACAGATCAGACCTCTCGTTGATCTCTTGTGATTCGTCGGCAGTGTTGGATGTACAAACAAAACTACTTTTTCAGGGAAAGTAAAGTAACACGTTAACTATCGACAGTAACATGAAGCTATCTATTTTTGATCCGCTGCAACGTTACTTTTTAGTCCAAGGCCGTTGGAGCGTGTACAAAAAGAGTAAAGATGTGACAGGGGCCTTAAAAATACATATATACAAAAACTAGTGAAAGAACCAAATGCTTTGAGAGCGAGGAACTATAAACGCATTTTATATCGTTATTTTCTATCGTTAAAAAGTGAGGTACCCCGGCTTTAAGAGACAAAAAAGGACAAAAACACTCCCGTTCTCAGACCTTTTATGTAGACCAGGGCTGGCATCTCCTTCCAACCACCAAACCCACTGGAGCTTAGAGTCATTAGAGAGAAAACAGAGGGGGGAGGGGGAGAAGGGGGGGGGGGGGGGGGGGGTGCAGAGGCGCTGAGTTGATCCATCAGAAAGTAAAGTCAGTTAACTGGAATCAGACTGAAGCAATCAGGCCTCGCTGCATCTGTGTTTGAGAGACACATTTCTGTCTCTGATCTTTGATACACTGTTGCGTGCGGAGTGTTGTAAATTGATATTTTGTGCAATGATGTGTTGTGTGTTGACAGAGAAATCCGATGTCGTGCTGTTGTGTTGCTGTTTGAACGTGTGCTGAGTTCAGGCAGCCGTCATAAACATTCCTCCACATCCTCTCCTCGCTCCTGTACACACACTTAACAGAGAGCTGCTTTACTAGACACACACGTGCACACACGTATGCAGGCACAGACACACTCAGACACACATGCATGCGCACACAGACAG